TTCAAGGCAGTAGAATAGTTTATGCAATACAATGTATTATATATTATTTGTTTTCTGTATAGATTCAATAAACAGTACATACTTGTTTAACTACGGAGAAAAAAAAAAAAAAAAAAAAAATAAACCATTTTAAAAAAAAAAAAAAAAAAAATTTTTATATATTTTTACTGTATACATTAAACAAAGTCAACTTTTTTTTATAATCATGTATACCTTAATAAAAAAATATAAATTTAACCATTTCACTAGCAAATTTTATTGAACAAAATTGCAACAATAAGTATAAAAAACATTCAGACAAAATGTACTTAAAAATATGATCAGACTAATATAAAAAAATGTTGGACACATGTATTAAGTGAATAATACAACAGTTATGTAATTATTTGTTTTTCATTTAACTTATCATTAGTCTCGGATTCGTATGTTTGTTTTTTTGTTAGATCTCTTTCTTTACGAGCCTCCAGGTATCGTAAAATCCTCTCATCCTTAGATGGATCCTCAAGCATTAATGCTAGACTAGCAGCGGACCGTAGCGCAGAAGGATCTCCGCGGCGAGATAAGACGTTCAGTGCATGGTGGATCGAGTTGTCTTTCCGTGAATAGAGGTAACTATGTTGGTAAAAAAATTATTCAAGTATGAATTAAATTTCACCGTTGAAATCCGGAGTTTTACATCAATTTACCACATAGCAGCCTGTTCATAAGCCTCTTCTTTCTCAAGTTGAATAGCCCAAGAACAATACAACTCTGATATTACTGGGTCTTCAGGAATAAGCCGCAGCTTTGCAAGTGCAATAGCCTCACTGTATAAATAAAAATTGATAAATTAGGTTTTCGCTTGATCATGAATTTGAATCTTTCACTCACCGATACATTTCAGCTTTATGATAGGTATCAATAGCCTGATATATCTCCCCACATGCTAACCAACACATAACCGCCCCGTGGCGATCATTTTTTGCGGCAAGCTTCTCCGCTTGCAGGCGCATTAAAGATTGCCATACATCTCGTCCGGCTAAATATTATTATTTTTATATTATAAACGAGTATAAAATAATTTGATTAATCAAAGCCATCTGCATACCTAAGGGACTAATTGCAAGAAGTATCCAATCTTGATTAGAAAGCTCTTTGTTTTCTTCACAGAATTTAACTAAACTAGAAAAATTATTTGACCATAATTCCAGTGGCAGACTTGGATTAACTTCTAGGCCACCTAAACCAATAGACTGCTCTGAGGAATTGTGCGATAAAACTTCAAAGTATATATTAAAAAAATAGATATGAGAAAATTTTATATACAGGTGATAAAAGGAGAATAGTGTGAATCACCTTCTTTTTCAATTGATCTTCTTGTATTATTTCCTTCTCCAAAAAATAAATCTACGGATAATGGACTTTGTTGATCATGATCGTTCAAGCTCTCTTCGTCAGCCCAAAATTCCAATGCTTTTACTAAATCGCCACCATATAACCTTTTTGCAAGATCGAAAATGCAATATTGAAGGTTCTTACGTCGAACAGGTGTTGTTGTACTCAATGGCAGCAAATTTTTCAATTTCTTGTTCTTCTTTGATGTACGAACATCTACCCTGCGATTGGGCTCGATGGGTAAGGTTGTTTTTGCATGCAAAGATGTGGATATACTCATTTCAGCCGTTGATGTAATGACCTGATTTGGGTTTAACGTTGGGGGAGGTTTCCGTGTTGTGCCTGTTTTATAATAATTATTGTTGATCGACATAACGGCATTAATGGCTTACCGCAAGTAGAAGAATAAACAAATATTTTTATTGTAATAGTAAAAATACCAGTCGAAAATTCGCAAAGATTTTCAGATGGTCTCCAGCCGAAACACATTGCGTCGTCTCCACCCGTAAAAACCAAATCTTCATCATCTAAACTCCATGCAGTACACAATATCCGTCCGTGATGACCATGAAATACAGACATGGGAACGCCTTTCCCTAAGTTCCATATCTTGTGTATATTGAAATAAAAATTTTGATAAGAAAGAATACTTTGTCACCTACGCTACGACTAAAATCAGATACGTACAATAGCCATCCCATCAGAAGACGTTGAAATTAACTTGTTACTATCCATCGGGCACCATGACAAGTCGGTTACCCCTTTTTCATGCATTTCAAGAACTTTTTTGCATGATGAAGTCGGAACGGAAACTACAACGCAAGGGTATATGTTGATAATTATTGAAATAATTCGATTCACATAAAATCACTAAAATTATCCATTTTGTTCATTTTACCGGTTGGCATCAAATTTTCCGAGTTTGAAAATTCATGAATCATGATCTTATGATCATCGGAACCGGACGCAAGCAAAAAAGAATTTCCAGTTTCATCTGGTGAAAAAGAGTAATTATAAAAGAGCACATTAATTGTATAAATGGTTAAGGAAAAGAAACAGGATTTTTAAATATGCGAACCTAGAGGGCACCAATTCAGTATACTAATAGAAGCTCTATGACCAATATTATGATAAATGATCTTGAAAGAGGGTAAGTCATATGCCTCAATACTCCCATCAACATTACCAACAACCAAAAATCTGCCATCAGGATGAAAAGAGATCTCGTTCTTCTTTGGCAAATATCCAGATTTGTCCTAAGTGATAGACAATTCTTTAAATTCAAGTTTATATTTAATCAAGGTCAATAGATCTTTACTAGCAATTACCCTCAATACTTTAATCCATTCAGGGTTAGCTTCATGTATTCTATCATTAATACATGAAGATTTTTTCGGATTCGTGATATCGTTTAAAAGTATATTACCGTCACTCCCGCAACTGATGATTAAACAATAGTCACCAGATTCTTCGCTATATGGTTCTGATTTTATCCAGCTGGGTTTACACCATCGAATGGCAGAAACCTTTCCTTTATGATAAGAATTAAAGGTCTTTGATTTGTCGCTATAAATTTCATACCAACCAATATTTCCTAGGTCAGAGCCAAATGCCAAGAGACCTTCTTTGGATGGATGACATTCAATCTATAAAGATTATTCATTTCATTAATAGTTATTTCAATAGTGGGAAATTAAAAAATTGTTAAAATACTTACATACGTAATCTTATTTTTTATTCCCTTCCAATATAATGCACAGCTAAAAGGATTGAGTCTATTGGAAATATCCCAAATTCGAATATTATTATCTCCGCATGCAATGGCTAGCCTATGAGGATCCGCGACTGAGATACTAATATCATTGACTTGCTTAGGAATGCACCCAATCGAAACAATGGGCTTCCTTTGTATAATATCCCATAAAGTCAACTGGAATATGTGTGTAAATATATATGGTAACTTAACCTTAGCATTAGTGGTTTTTACGTTTAAAACGACGTAATGTAATTCAAGTACCTTTTGATCCATGGAGATGGTAACAGCTTTTGTACCACAAGGGTAAACCACTATGGTAAAGACACTACGTGTGTGACTACTTACAAATTTCTGATACTTTGTGGCGGAAATATCTAAATCCCACATGAGCAAATCTCCCCTTTAATAAAGAGGATATGAAAATACATCAGATCGACTGAGAAAACGGTTGACCGCGTACAACTAAAAAAAAATCATACCGACATGTATGAACTAGAAAGTACCCGATTGGTTTCTGGAATCCATGCGGTTGCTACCCAAAATCTAGATTTCTGTTGCTCAGTGAGGTGATGCATTGGATGAGGCAAATTTATTACTTTTTCAAGACACTCCTCTTCCACGTTCCAAATGTGAACAGTTTTGTCTCGAGATCCGGAGGCAAGTAACGTATATTTGTTGACAAAAGAATGATCTATAAAATCACGATAAAAATTTAAATTTGGGATTAACAATTCATTTTATAGTCAGTCATGTATTTACGTTTTGGCGTTTCCCATGATAAACTTTGAATTTCCATGTCGTGTCCTTTAAGACGGCGAACGATCTTGCCATTTAAATCCGAATCAATCTTGACAATGATTATTGCACCGTTCTGAAACCTATAATGATAATAGTTCTATATTGAAATTAGGCGATTTCCATTTTTATTTATTGATTTATTAATCTATTAATCTATTTTCTGACTCACCCAATTGCTAAAGAGTCTTCAATAGTAGGAGATGCAACAATGTCGCAGATCGGCGACTGGATGAAGTAAATTTTATTCGATTTATTTTTTGATGGATCCCACACGGATATATCTCCTGATTTATCGCCTGTGGATTAAAAAATGACATTAATTAACGTGACATCACATTAGCACAATGAAAAGATATTGTTACCTGATATAACGAATTTTTTGTTTGCCAACCATTCCAAAGCGTAAATCTCGCTCTAAAAAAAAAGATCACGAGATTTTATTAGATGGTCGAGAAATCAAAATTGAAGAATAATATATTACCTTATGCTTCGATATTACAAACAATTGTTTTCTACTTATCACATCCCAACACCTTACAGTCGTGTCGGCACCGCCAGTAGCACAGAGGGTATCGCAAAAAGTTAACGCGTTCACGCGGTCGGTGTGTCCAATAAAAGTACCCTCAAAACTTAAGGTTTCAGCGTTGAAAAGTATGATATTATTCGAAGAAGCGTAAGCGAGCATATTTGTGCTCATAGAAAAACCCAAAGCCTTAGATGAATTCCAATTTGGTGCGGGAGGTAGGCAACTAAAAACCTTCATATCGAAATAAAACAAAGGATAACTAACAAATGTATTTTCTTGACAATTTTATTTAAAAAAAAAAGTCATGTGATGCAAAAAAAAAAAAATCGATGATTAATTCTGAATTTCTTCACAAATTTGTTTGACTAAAAATGAGTTTTTTGAAATATAAGACCTATATCGAAGAAGGCGATCTGGTCATAGCATATATGGTATTTTCGTTTTTTAATTCTTTTGACTACACTTTTTTCGTATATGGACTTAATAAGCATTAAATTCCAGACTCGCGAGAACATGACGCCACTAATTATTGATTCAAAATTAACGTATAATAACAAATTCGGTACCTTTAAGCACTCGGATATGATCGGAAAAGAATATGGCACCAAGGCATTTGTTTATTTCTCTGTGTGGCATTTCTAAAACATCATTTCTTTTTGTCAATATTTTTTCTGTCCATTTTCACATAGATGCCTTCACACAACGGTCGGGGATTTATGTACCTTTTGCATCCGACACCAGAGCTATGGACTTACGTTGTTCCTCATCGAACACAAATTTTGTATATTGCTGACATTTCTTTTATTACAACCTATCTGGATCTAAAACCTGGATCGCTCGTTTTGGAATCGGGTAAGAAAAAAATATAAAATGCAATGAATGAATTTACTATAGGCGTTATAGATGCGAATTTTGTTCGCAATATATATATATATATATATATATATATTTTCACTTTCAGGAACAGGCAGCGGGTCGTTTTCACATTCTCTAGCGAGAACTATTGCACCACATGGTCACTTGTACACTTTTGAATATCACGAAGAAAGAGCAAAAGCTGCCAAGTATGCGAGTGCATTTTATAAATACATGATCACGATTATTGATTAAATCACTCATCCATTTACCAGACAAGATTTCGAAGAGCATGGTCTTTCTGATCTAATCACCATAGATTGTCGAGACGTTTACAAAAGCGGATTTGGCATAACGGATCTGGTGTCTGCTGGTAAGTTTATTTTGAAATACTATGGTTGTTGCACTCACTACCTAAAAAATAAGTTCAACGTGTTTTTTTAGTCTTTTTGGACTTGCCTGCACCTTGGGATGCTATTTCATCGGCCAAAGCGGCATTCAGGGTATTATTATATATCACTACCCTTTTCTTTTTATGATCTTATACATCATTAATCTACATAATATATTAATGTAGCAACGGCGTATAGGGAAGATTTGTTGTTTTAGTCCTTGCATAGAACAAGTACAGCGAACTTGTGCTTCTTTAAATGAAAACGGGTTTGTTGGTACGTGTCCTTACGTGCGACGTGTCAATTTCACGTGACATTTACCTCTAAATTGTGGATTACTGCTCCAGAAATCAAAATGTTTGAGTGCCTAATTCGCAACCAAGAAGTTCACACAATTCCCGTGTATACTGTGAAAGATGCCGTATCAAAAATAAAAACACAACAAGACAAGAAACGTAAACGCAGGGAACAGGAGGAAGATCCTAATCACACGACAAAATCACAACCTAGACAAGATCCACCTAATCTATATGTGTCTAAAACACCAACAGAAGCTAGAGGTCATACGAGTTACCTTACCTTTGCTACATTTCTACCAGTTTTAGACGGTGAAGAAGTGATCAAATAAGTTATTAGAGAAATTAATATATGAATGATCTGTATATATAGTAAACAGCAAGATTGCAGATATAATTTACTAAGTTATCACTTGAATTTTACTATAAAAAATAAATAAATTGGAATTGGACTTTATATATATTATTCACTTATTGTAAGAGCTTCTTCATTAAATAAAGAAGAGTTTTATTTTAGTTCATCTTTTGAATTTGTTCACACCAAACTCCTTATCGAAATACATCCATAATAAATATTAGAGAATGAAAATTTTTAATTTGTAGGAAAAAAAGAAATGCGTTTCCCCAAAAGATTATAATACGAATGATTTAGTTGGAAAAAAATATACATCAAATATTAAAAAATACAATTCTACTTGTGACACTATTTACTGCTGATAATGATGAGGCTGAGGGAAATTAACCCCACCAGGTCCAGAACCACCCGATGGTTGCTGCTGTTGTAAAGGAATGGGCATTCCTGCGGGGTAAATAGCGGGTGAGCCATGCTGAGGTGGTGGTGGCATCCCAGGATGTTGATATTCAGGTTGCTGCGGTTGTGGGTAATCGACGTAAGCTGATTGCTCCGGCTGTGGAATTATATTTTGCATCACTGGTTCTTGATGGTGACTATTGTATTGAACTTCTGTAACGGGAACCTCCAATGATGAACGAGTTGAATTTGTATGCATCGTGACCTCAGCATCATGTTTAGGCAAAGGTTGACGTCGGTTGCTATACCACTCGTGCGCCAAAAGACCAAGAGAAACCAACCAGGCACCAACGGCAAACCATCCAAACGCATTTCCTGCACGTTCTGTTCTACATGTACTCGGTAAACCATTGACGAAAGTAGAGTTGTCTGGTCCACTTGTATAATTATTGAAAGATTCTGAGCTAGGATCACAATTTCTAAGGCCCACCTCAATACTCAGTGCCATCGACATTAGGGTCAATATAACACACCAAATTGCCGTTAGAACGAACTCGATTCTGACTACCCTCAGCGCTCTGGCCATGGATTTAAATTTCCCATATTTTAAGTAGACAAAGGGAATGCCAACAATTGCTGCCGCGAAAAACATGGAAATAATAAAAAAAAAAAGGTGCATATTTGAAAGTATTGAACTACGCGTGATATACATGACTTTATTATCAAAGGCGATGACGGCTGCAATGCAACACATTGAAAGAAAAGCGAAGAAGACTTGAGCTCCGCGCAAACCCCATTGCACCTTTGTAATGGGGATTTCCAATTTATCCGTATCTTCGTAGGCCATATTATTAGAGATTTTTAAAATTTCCAATTTCCTATTACGTGAAATGTGGTTATATTCACGGGGTTCATGAACAATTAGATTCTTGCCGTCTAAGAAAGAAAAGAAAAAAAAAACTATTTATTCAAATAGGCGGTGTTTGTCCCACCCTTTCAAAATTTTCTGTGGCTTTTTAGCTCAAAATGTTATTCTTGTCGATAACGATGACGAAACTGGAAATCTTTCCGGAATCAATTCTATGATACTTAGCCGCCAAGCCATGATCAAATGTCTTGATTGAAAACTAGTTATCAATTGTTCGATCATACAAAAACAATCGTGATCTATTTTTAAAACTTGTTATTGTATAGTTCTTATAATCTATTTATTTATTACATATATCAGATATTGAATATTGACAAAAAAAAAAAATCGATTTATTTTTTTTTAGATGAAAAGCATTACAATGCGTAGTTTTTATTGAGTACTTTATATCTTACAGTCTTCCTTTTTACAAGTTATCGTATTTTGTGAAATAAAGTACCATTTCAAGTATAATATTAACATTTCTTTTTTTAGTAATTTGGATATAAAAACTTTGGTATTTTATATAGTACTATATATATAAATTTAAAATTACATATAAAATTTAATTATTTCCATATATTTTTTACATCTTTATACTTGTTTATCAATATTATCTTGAAAAATGATAGTACTTATATTTCTATCTTTGTTATTTTTTAATTCATTGTTTTTTAACTTATCTAATTGCTTATAATTAAATATTAAATAATTTTCAGTTTTATTAAAATTAAATTATTCTTTAATTAAATTGATATCTATTTTTTTCTATAGATTTTTAACTCAAGTAACAAACAAGTATAGCATAAAATAATTTATGAATTCATTTAAATTTTCTTGTTATATTTTACTATTTATTCAATTATTATATTAACAAAAAATTTATTATAAATAAAAATAAATATAAGTATTTTATAATAAATATTTATTAAAAATTTTATTATCTTTTATTTAAAGAATCAATAAATAAATACATTTAACAATTGCAATTTACTTATATAAGTTTTTCTAAAATTATTTTCAAATTAATTTTTTTTTTTTAAAAATTAATTTTTACAAAATTTATCAAATGTTTTTAAAATAAATTTAAAATAAAAAAATTTTGTAAATTCAGATTGTTTTATTAACTTTATATATTTTTTATTCAATATTGCATTTTAATTTTATTATATTATTATTTTTATTAATATAAATATGAATTTTATTAAAAAAATTTTATATAATATATTTTTAAGCTTGAAAATATAAAATTAATAAAAGTTTTAAACTATTAATTATATATTTAAAAATTATAATAAAATATTTTTTTTTATATCTATTATTTAAATTATAATAGCTAATAATTTATTTTTTTTTATTGCAATTATATTTAAAAGATTAAAAGATAACAAAGTTTTATTTATATTTTCAATACAGTTAAACATATAATTAATTTCTTATTATTTATATAATATAAGATAGATAAGAGTATTATAACACAGCTATCAATTATAATGTAATAAATACAGTATATTATATTATTTATTTGATTTTTTATTATGCAAGATGATTATAATACATTAAATAAAATTATTTATAATATTATATTCTATTTATATTTAAATTTTAATAAAATTTTAATGATTTATTATTATTATATATTGTATTATATACCTATTTATTATATATAATAATTGATTAAATAAGTTTTTTGAAAGATTTTAAATAAATAGATAACAGTTTATAAATATAAGCTTTGTACAAAAATTTTGAAATATCCTTAGAGTAGTTTACAATACCATCTCTAAATTGTATCTTTAAATTTCAATTTTTCTAATTATAAAAAATAGTGCAATTGTATGTATAAACTATTTAAATAAATTAATTAATTAGTTACGAATTTATAAAAATTCATTTTAGAATAAATATACTTATTATATCTTATAAATTATTCTGTTATTTTAAATAAAATCTTGTTGATGTCATATAATTCTAACTTTTAAATATTTAAAACATGTTTTTATTAATAGATTAGATTAATTGTTTTTTATTATTACTTACTCTAATTTTGCTGTAATCTTTTTTTTAAATTATTCTTTTATTATATCAAATATACACTATTTTTAATATAAACTTCCTGTTAAATTATTTTTTTACCATACTTTAGTTATATTATAAATTTCCTCTTAAATATTTTTCTATTATATCAAATGTAATTATCTCTTGTGTTAAAATTTTATAATTCAAAGAAATATTAATTTGAGATCAGACACAAAAATTCAAACCTTAATAAAAGAAGAAGTAGAAAGACATGTCAGAAAATTGGAATAATATTCTTGAAAAAAAAAATACAAATAATTAACATAGAAGTAATATTATAAATATCAATATTCTTATTTATAGTATTTTAATAGATAACCAAAACTTTTGCTAATTGGTTACTTGAACTATTCAACTTTATTATCTTGTATTTGATATTATTCATAATATATTTGAAATATATCAGAATCATATCAATAGTTTAAAGAAATCTTTAAAATCAAAAAAAAATTATTTTTATCTTAGAATTGATTCAATATTAATAACCTAATTCAAAATTTAAATCCTTTTTCGATTGCATTAAGTAATGCATAAATATAATAAATCCTAATAATAAAAAAGATTGGTATAATAAATTAATTATTTACATATTTATAAATTAATAATATAAATATAAACTTACTTTTTTTATAATCAGTAAAGTTTGTATATATATTAATAAATTAAAATATAAATATCATAACTTAATTATATTCATTTTTTTTTAAACTTAAATCATTATGCTATCGCAAAATAATCAATCTGTATGACTTAATACTATTAAAAGTATCTTTCAAGAGCTTAATTCTTTAACTGATTCTAAATCTTCAAGTAATAGAAATATTGCAAGAAAATATAATATTTCCAAAGTCATCTTAAGACATACCATTAAAAACAATAGTACTTCTAATTATTCAAATCTTACCAAAGTTTTAATTAACTATAAAAAAGAACAGATTATTAGTTATTGTTTGAATATACAAAGACTTGGTTTTGAATTAACATAATTAGATATAAATTAGTATGTTATAAAAATTATTTATAATACAAAACAATCTTACTTTTTTAAGGAGAGTGGATCAAGCCAATCAAAGCACATGTCGAAAGAACAAATCCTATTGTTTTAAATAATCATTTTCAAAAGCTTTAAAAAATATTAAAGAATACTTATTTACCACAAATAAAATATGAAATATGGATAAAATAGGTTTTGTTCTTAATTTTAGTTTTCAAAAAGTTATTGCGAAAAAAGATACATGTCAAGTTTATCAGGTTTTATATAGAAATTTTTATAAACACATTTAAGTATATCCAATAATTTTAGCTGTTGGAACATATATTTCATCATTAATTGTTTATAAAGGAAAGTGTACAATTCCTGATTTTTTAAATAGTGCTTCTGCAAGATTGGTTATGGAATTTACTAATATGAACTATATGTGAAAAGGTCTTTTTAAAAAATATATTGAGCACTTTATTCACTCAATTTTACCTATTTATTTAGTTTTATTAATTCTTGATAGTTATAATAGTTATATTAGTTATAGCAATATTAGTTTTTATTATAATAATAATAATATTCTTTTATATACACTCTCACCTTATACTATATATATACTTCAACCTGCAAAACTTTCTTTTGCTCAACTTAAGAAAGCCTATAATAAAGAATATAATTAACTTCATATTAGTAACAATAGCAAAATAATAACAAAATATTTATTTTCCAAAGTTTTAGATTTAGCATATAATAAAACTTATATATCTATAATAATTTATAATACCTTTATAATAATTGAAATATGGCCATTTAATTTGCAAGCAATTAATTCTAATTATCTTAATCTTTCATTAATAACAAAACAGTTTGATATTCAGCCATATGTTACAAATTCAACTTTAAGTTATATAAGTTTTATTTATATGAATGCTACAAAAAAATTATTAAAAAAGAAGATCGAATTAAAAAAAATTATAGAAAAATTGAAAATATATAAAAATCTGTTATCTTTTTTTTATAATTAATGTTCAAATATTCTTTTTCTTATAATTTACAACTAATTAAAGATTCTAAAATTGAAGATTAATTAAAATCTAATTAGAATCTTATCAACAAAAAAGAAAAAAACAAAAAACAATACTATTTTTTTAATTTCTTATAAACAAAATATCTTTAAAATTATTAAAATATTTTTTTTTATTTCAAAATTTTTTATTTTAAATAAAATTAAATATTTTTTTAAAGTTTTATTATTATTAATATTAATTGTATTATAATACTTATATTTATCTTATAACTTAAAATTTTTTTTTATTTTTTAATTAAATTTTTAAAATAATTATTTCAAAAAAATTTTAAAATTATTAATATTAAAATATAATTTTTAATATTGACTTTTAATAGCAAGAATTTTAACTTTTTATATAATTTTATTTTCTGTTACTATCGTATACCATTGCATACAATACCCGGAAAGTATTTTACTAAGAGGAGGGTAGTATTAGTGGCAGGGTATATTATTATTATAAAATTCAAAATAATATTGTCTTACTTATTATTATATTAATATACCCGGGTAGTAATCAATTATCAAGTAATAATTTTCTTGAATACTACCCGGTATTATTAGTGGAGAGGTAGTATTTGGAGGGGGGTATTGTATGCAGTAGTATATGGTATATTTGTTTTATTATTATTTTTAAAAATTCAATTAGCAAATTTATTTTCAAGTTTTAAATAATTTTTTTTTTTTTTTTTTTTTTTTTTTTTAAACTAGCTTAACCTTGCTTAGCAAACTTTATTAAAGTCAATATTTACATA